GATAGATAAACTTATGTACCGAACTAGCATTATTTCACAAGATAGAAGCAATATCCTATACGGACGACTACTCCTTGCATACGATCATATCTCTTATTTTCGTTATAATCGATGTAAATAAATAGTAGAGAATGACAACTAAATGTTATGTAGTATATATAGTATTACATTGTTTCGACAGCAAAAATAGCTTATTCGTTCAGGCGTTAAGCTTCTTCTGTGTCGTCGCATAAAAAGATGGACCTTACAAAAAAAAAAAGATGGACTTCCGCTGTGATAAGTAATCACTCGTTTAGCCATTCCGCAGGACACGTTTGCTGTACTATACAGTAATCGTGCTCAGGATTCCTTATGCCCTATTTTGTGTTTTTATTTTGTACGTTGCAAAATAATGAAAACATTTTTTTACTCACAGCCGCATAAAGCAACCGAAAAGCACAGCGTCACTATAGAAAATAAGCAATTACTTGGAATTAGTATGCACAAGGTGTATTGTAGTTAGCACCATCTAAACGAACGGTTAATACTCGTTGTACAGTGCATGGGTAATCTTGGCCTTGTTATGATGCCCAGGCTTGTCTTAATATCTAGACAATGACATCAGCGATTTTCTTGAACTATTTTGTTCTCTACCGCTTTAAAATGAAGCACATTTCATATTAACTAAAATTCTTATTGTGCCAATATTTACTTATTTTTGCGAAATATAGAACCCGTATTTGAAAGAACGCTGATACGAAAACCTTAGGTGAAACCATCTTAATCTTTTCGTGGATATACAGAGAGAACTCATCCTACAATGCACAGGACTGCTAAATGAAGCCTTCGTGACACCAGAGCAAATAGCCCAAGATATAAAAGCACGATTAGATCATTTTTGATTGCAAAAGAACGCCACAAGCAATGATATTATAGGTGATCCGGAGAGAACTGAGAAAACACGATATTTTATAATTAATCTAAATATTTCGATCTTATTTATAGCAGGTCTTTCATTCAGTTCATATATATATCTAACAGTTTCCTACAGCTTAATGAAGATGTATCTGACTGATTGACTAATTTACTTGAAAGTTACAATTCTGAGGACAATCAAAAATAGCTGGGGGTTTAACATTTATAATAGGTAAACATTTTCGTGCCGCATTAATTTCGTTCTTTTATACTATTATTAATGATATCAATTGTCTTATTTGCAAATCCTGGTGGTTTGGGCCCGTAGGCTTATGTTTTTTTGACCAAAAAATTGGCTAAAAATCGGTGTACGCTTAATAGATAGCTGAGAATGTCAAAATGCCAGTCTTACAAGCACAAAAACAGATCGTTAGAATACATCTACACGACGAATACAAAATACCTGGTCTGTAGCAAAAAAAAAAAATGCTACCGACCAACGGTCTTCATAATATTAGAGTGTGCGTACAATCGTCGTGGCTTCTAATGATTATACCATATACGTCTAAGACACGTGTATATATATTACAGTATAACTAATACATAAAGCTGAAAGGAACTGTAGAAGAGGCATTTTAAACGTCAGTCGCCGTTCGATGACGAACACGACATCTTTAGTCCAACGAGATAAAAAATCAACTTTAAGACCCTGTTTTTTCCCCTTGGACTTTGAGCACACGAATTATCGTACAAAAGTCTCCTATCGCTGGTTACCCACTGATCTAATGGAAATCATCCTTGTCATTACTGACGCCGCGGGTTTTTAGCCTGTGCGAAGAAATCTTGATAGCCATAAATGCTTTCTAAAGTAAGAAATTCAGTTCCCCTATAGTATCACACGTCTAGACGAGGAAGCAGGTCTTTAAATCGGCCCCAGGATCAATAAGATTGTGCAGGAATCTTAATCTGTTCGTAAGTAGATGCTCTCAGGTTATCTACACGATAAATAGCAGGGCCATTGTGTGCGTAACGGAAGTAAGTATCTTATGTGCTCCTTTGTCTCTGTTACTACTTTTCCTACGTTCAGTACTGGATCTAGCTAAATGTATCCTACGCCATAATGCAGGCTGTTGAAACGGAACTCAATAACAGCAATCGTAGAAACGATTCGTATAGCAGATATCGGTTAGGATCATTCTATGCACACTAAATATCCTTTGTCTATTTGTCAGCCACACTGATCTGCTACTGAGCTTGTTTTTGTTACCTCTTACTGTTTTTCGTATATATGCTCATTGCGGTATCTATTATGAACAGGTAGAAATCTCATGAGAAATTTATCTTTGATTCTTAATACTATATATATTCACCAGTATCCTACTAATATGGGAATGACTCTTCAGTAAAAGCAAACTAGTACTGTTAGAAGGCAAAGTAATTGCTGGCTAACTTCATAGTAACTAATTGATTAGATGCATAAAATTGAGTGAACATAGTTTAAAAGGCTTTTTTTTGTTGTGTTTAGCGACGTTGCTTGTTGACAATACATAGTTTTTACAGTAGTGACAATAAGCTATCCTTGTTTACGTAATCGTTGCTGGTATCAGCATAAGCTCGATGTCATAGGTTGCCTTGACCCACCGTCTTCCAACAGATATAGTTTCCTTCAGAACTGTGCATGAGGCCTACTCCTTCCCCTCTACACTGCTGTGGACAGAATGACATAGGGCTAGTGACTTTGGTTCTAGGAACTTCAGTCAGGCCAATAATGCGTGTATAACATGTGGTTGCTGCCTATGTGGAATAGGACTTTTTTCCTCTGAGCAATTATGTTTCGTCTAGGCTATCTCAGCCAACGATCACGAAAGCTCTGAAACATACACAGTAGAAATTCTTCAGAGTTAGGCAGTTCTGTAAGTGGTGTTGGAGCTTACCGCCACTTATCTATTTGAAATTTAAGCTTTTTCTTTCAACTATCTCTTTTTTTTGCCTTTGTTTTCAGTTAATCTGTACACATATAGCATTTTTGCTATTCTACGTTCTTACTGCTTAGACTAATCTTGAATACTCAACTGTTTTAGGCTTGAATGAGCATTTTTTTCTAACATGGAAAGCAGAGACAGGGCTTATTAAGCCGTTGAGAGGTCCGCTATTTTTCGAAATTGCCTACAGGGGGAATTGCTGGGCGTACCTTCATGTCCTGAGCTAGTCTATTTGAGTGCATAGTGAACGCGGAAGAAAGTTTATTAGCCCCCAAGTCTCTCTGGCTTCGTCATCGCTTCCCAGCTGCTCAAGCAGAAAGGGTACGAGAGAACAAGGGACGTGCTAGGCAAAAGGCCACTGACGGACCAACTGTCTACAATTTTACTTGAAAAGTCATAAAGCTCTTTCTTCACCATTTCTGGTTGCTTGGCTTAAGGAAGGGAACTAAAGTCGTGTGTGTGTATATGTATATATATATATATATATATATATATATATATGCACGTACATACGTGCTGCCAACAAAACTAGGAAAAATTTTGCCGGGCTGTTTGTCTTAAGGGGCATGCGTTGATTCCGCGTTGACTGCCGGTATCAAACGAAAACCACTTCCTTCTAGAAGAAAACTACGAATTAATCGTGACAAACAATAGTGTTCTGTTTGCGGAATTTAGGCGAAGATCGTTCCGCCAATCTT